TGGACGCATCCTATGTTACAGTACTATAAGCCACTTATACAGCAATTCAATCCCTCTTCTAGAGCAGGAAGCACTTTAAAATGTGCCAAGGACACTATCAAAGGAGGTCACCCGTGTCCCTGCCACCAGGACCCTCTGGCTGCCAATTGCATTTTAGGTTTGGGCTTACGTTTCCTACGAGGCTTGAGGTCTCGGTTCACCGGAGGGGGCTCCAGGTCCGAGGGAAGCTCAGGTAACGGGCTGGTGAGTTTTTCAGTGCTGACGACAGGGAAGGTAAATGTGGCTGAGCCGGGGCTCATGGGGATGTAGCCGTCGGGTGAACAGTCAGAGCTGGGTGCAGAGGGAGAGGTGCTGGGGCGCATGGGCACGTAGCTGTCCTCCGTGCTGTCAGAAGCAGTCGAGTAGAGCGGGGAGAACCGACAGGGCTTCAGGAGCAAAGGAGGAAAAGAAAGAGAAATTGGTCGATAAATGAAGAGCTAACCCCCTGCAAGGCAGGAAGTGCTGTGAGCTAGCAACAGATCTGAGCTGAGCCCCAGGCCAGGAGAGTCCTGACATGATCTTTCCGAGAGGCGCAAGCCGGAAAGACACGAGACAAGCGCATGAGTTCAGATGCACACTCCAGCTTTGGAGAAGTCCACTTCTGAGTTTTGCAAGTCACTGCTGGAAACGAGGACCAAACTTACTGGTCACTTAAGTAGGTTAAATCCTCCAACTTCAGTGAGGCTGCACTTGACTCTTCCAGAAGTAATTCTGACCTATAAAATGAAGGAGGCTCCTTCATACAAAAAAACATCCGAAAGGGGAACATCTGATGAACTAGATTTTTGCAAATGTGGAAGCTGAGAGAGCAGACACACAGACATACAAGTTACTTCTGACAGCTGAGAATAAACGCTAGAAATTAATTTCATGCTGGTTGGAGCTAGCTGAGTGGTGAGAGGGATTGATTGCAAACCTCGGAAGCTTTCAAAGGAGAGAAAAATATAAGTTGCCCACCACCAGAACTTACATACAAGCAGCAAAGGATCTCCCACACAGAAGAAGTGTACAGCGCCAAGCAGAAGACTGGCTATGTGATGTGTGATGGTGCTACATATAACCATGTCTGTCAAAGGCTGTGTCTGGAGGCTTTGGACTGACACAGCCCTGAGTCGCAGGCGCTTTGAGAGCAAAGACTTTCCTATGTCCTAAAGAGGAGATATCACTCAGGATCATGAAGTGATAGGCTTCTTTAGACCCTTTTTTCCAGAGATAAGCAGTTTTCTCAAGTGCTTTTGGTCAACAGTTTAATTCTCGAGGCTACTGGTATCCTTTTTCACAACAGACCTGGCTTCACCTGCTTTAAAAACAGGGTGCTCAGCGCTGTGGCCTCCCTCTCCTTCCTCTCTCAAAGGCTTCCTGTGGCCGCAAAGAAGCGGCACAGAAGTTGCCCAAAGCCAAGTGTTTCTTCCATTTTTTTATTCTTCTGCTGAACACAGGAGAGGAATGATTGAATATCAGGATGTGAAATGATTCACTTTCTGAAGTTTGTCATGTGCCAGTGTTTTAAATTTATGCAAGCAGAGTACTTACCAAATTCAAGCTAAGCCTCTTATCCCGACTTCTTAAGGAACTGCCTTCCATGTCTGCTGCAAGGAAAAAAAAGTGATTAAAAATGTGATAAGGCAGTGCAACCTTACGGAGATAATTCTGGAGTAAAGCATATGGCTCTAAAATAATTAGAGCTTTATAAAGATCCCATAACTCCTAGTATTTATCCTAAATGAGGAAATCCAATGACACTTAAGACAAGAACCAACTCAGTAGCATTTCAAGAGCGATTACATCTATTTTAAGTATGATGAAACCAAGGAACATGTTCATGTGTAATCCAGCTGTAACTTATGCTTCCTGTAACACAAGCAGTTGGGGAGAAAAACTGGTGTGGTGTGGAAAGCAAGCAACCAAGCAAAAATTTAAACCCAGCTCCTGCTCTAGTCCCGCTCTGTTTTCCCATCTGTCAAATTGGGGAAATTATATGAAAAGGCACTGTAGGGAATATTAATCCATTATTGTTTGGAAAGTTATTTGGGAGCCTCGTATGTAAGGTGCCGGGGAAGCACATGTTATTGTACAGAGGGTGCATGGGGGAACTTAATGGTAGGAGAGAAATTCTTCTCTTTGTCACCCAGAAATGCTGATGTGGTGCAAGTGGCTCAAGCTGATGGGGAACAAATAGCCAGAAAAAAGGTTACCAGTCAGTGTCCCCTTGTGCAGGCTGGCCTTTCTCAAACGTAGGTAAATTTTATTTTTGAAGCAAAAGGCAAAAAAAATGAAATCCATCATCCAGTGCATAGAAGATCAGCAGTGGGAGATGCTACCATCCGCTTCTGGACAATGATTTTCTGTGCAGAAAATGGCTTTTCTGTGGGAATGCCTTAAAACCCTGCAACCATGTTAATCCAGTTCCTGCTTTTATGGTGGAGATGTCAATACTGTACTGCAACTGGGGGTCTTTGTGGTGGCATCCACATAAAAGGCAAAAGTGCTAAAGAAGAACAAAGCAATACTGTTAGTGCGGATATATATTTAGATAGACACCGTCACTGTCCTGGGACAGCTACATTTATTTATTTTTTCGGCAAAAAGACATTCGGGCACAACGCTCCGGCAGATGCCGGGATACAGGTGCCTTATACATGTACAGCTCATTCCCCTTCATGGCACTGCAACCAGCATACGCTGCCTTTGTACTGGGTTAATTACATCTGTTCAACTTTTACAGGTTGCCAAGGGCCAAAAATGAAGTAAATAACTCGAGTGGGCTCATTCTGGGAGCTGGTGAGGAACAGCTGCTTTCTCCCTGTTTCTTTTTCCGATCTTTCTTGTTAAACACATTTTAATTCAGAGTTTAACCTTTCAAATAGTTTCAGCTGCACTTAGGGTAAGAAAAAATAGCAGCACTTATTAATTCATTGCTGCCCCCTGTCAGGCAGAGATAACCTTGCAGCACGGTAGCAGAACATGACATTTGGCCACATAATCCTCTTTAAAACATTTTGGCATAAATTGGGTTGGAGGAACATTAACTGTCTCAAGCGCGCTGGCGGCGTTAGGGTGGCACACGTGCAGAAGCAAGAGCAGCACCTTTCAGGGAGCAACCAAATGTAACTGATTATTAAGAATACCAATTCCACTGATGAGTGTTTCTCCAGAAACCTTCCAAGAATTGTTTGTACACTGATAAACAGGCTGGACTGTTTATAAACAGGCAAGAGGTCTCCTTGCTTTAGCTTCTGAGTTTAAGAGCAAGATCTAACGGCCCCGAACATCGGTTGGTCATTCAAACTACCGGAGTCTAATGGACACTTGTTCTTAAAAACCTACATATTCTTCCTCATAAAAAATGACACATCACTGCAAAATACTTGATGATTTCCAGCAGGTACTCCAGCTGCCTCCCTCTGTTCTGTGGCTCCACAAAATAAAACTTTCTCATACTGCGTATGCTGGTTTTTGACACCTTGATGTTCTGGGATTTTGACTGTTATTTTTGTTTGTGGTGATGGTGTTTCAAGAACAAGTGGAAAAATCACCTCAGCTCAGAGCAGAACTTGCATTGCAGCAGAGCCTTGCTCTGCAGCGGGTTTTCAGGCTACCCTGACTGAAGTGCAAGGACAGAGTGGGATTTGCTGAAGGACACACAGAGTCCCTGGTTCAACCGGGATTACATGCCATCCCCAGCGTCTCCCTGGCTTCCTGTTCTTTACTCTAAGCTGCGAAAAGACATGCTGCTGTTATGGAAAGGACTGGATGTAGCGAAACGGCACAGCTACAAAGCATTTCCCATGTGCAAGCCCACATTTTGACCTGCATAAATAGAGAGTTTGGCATTGCCTGATTCAGTGGCTGGCTTTTCATTTTTGTTTTTCTACTGCTTTCTTTTTTGGAAAGGGAGGGGGCATGGAAAATTAGCAAGTCATGAGGCACCCTGAAAAGATCACAGCCAAATTGCTGCCCATGTGTACAGACTGAGGGGCTTTTACAGAGCAGGAGATGAATGTAAGGGACAGGTCTGAATCCCGCTCGCAACTAATTTGAAACAAGCATTTCAGGTTGCTTTGGGTGGTGTATGATTTTGCAGTGGGGAGGACACGGAGGCAAACTGGAGGTGGGCACCCGCTCTGCGCTCGTGGGCAGCTCCACCCCTCACACTGGTCCTGCTTCGCTGGCTCTCGGAAATGCACTCACCTTTCCAGTTCCTCACGTTGTCTAAGCTGGACAAGGAGATCCTCCTGGGCACCAGAGCGACCTGAGCCCGGCAGATCCCTGCATGCCCGTTCTGGAGGGCCCCGCCGCCCACCTCATCCCCTCTCCTGTCCGAGAAGTGGGTTGGCTTGGGTGGCCGCGGCGGGGGCGTGTTGGACAGGATGTCCAGCTGGGTGACACGCACGTAGGGCAGCGCGTTTTGGCTCTTGTCAATCTGAAAGGTTGGTGTCAGTGGTGTCCCCAGCAGTGGAGAAGAGGAGGAAAAGTCACTGGGTGGCCCGCTAATGTCTATGTTCCTGGACACAGTGCTGGGATTTGCCAGTGGGGCCCCATCCTGGTGCACAGTGCCAGCGCTGGATGGCTGTACAAGGTACAAGGAGGGCTGGGACTGCAAGGAGTCGACAAAAACATCGTCCGATGAGGTTTGCTCCAGAGATCTGTCCGAATTCGACCAGCTGTCACACCTGCACAGAGACAGAGGTCAGGACTGCGCTTTCCTTTTTTCCTGGTTGCAACTGAGCAAGTGCACAGCAGAAAAAAAATAAACAACCCCACAGTTCGGGACAAAATCTGTCCCTTCCCTATGGCTGTGGAAGGTCCCCCCTGAGTTGGGGGATGGGGCACTCTGTGGAGCACCTTGGGCAGCAGCAGGCAGAAAGGGCATCTGGAGGGAGGCCGTATGCAAGGTCCCCAGCCACCCACCCTGGAAAGGGACAGGACCAACATACAACACTCGACCGCTAATCTGCACTATGAAAAGCCCCCTGTAAACTGGATTAGGCTCATGGTCCCCTGTTGTGCTCCAGAGACTACCCTGAGTGGCAAGGCTCAAGGACAAGTTTGCCCCAGTTTCCCAGGACATCACTGGGCAGGCAGAGGGTGGCTCCAGCCCGACACACCTGGCACACCCCAGACCTACCTGTTGTGGCTGAGCTTGCCCGACTCGCAGTTGGAGAGGAAGAGGTAGTCGGGGAGGAAGACCGACTCTGACTCGCTGGGGGTCTCCTCTGCGGCAGACGCGTCAGCAGCAGCGTGGTCGACCGAGAAGGAGGGATCAGCGATGCGGGAGGCGTGAGTGGAGGCGGCTGGCGATGGCTGCGGGGACGAGGTGGTGTGAGACAGGCTCTCCACCGAACCTGCAATGGGAATGGACAGCCCCGGCTGAGGGACAGCTCTGACTCGCCCTGGCCCACTGCCTCTCCTGGCCATCACCACCTTGCTTTTGCACCAGGGATGTTTTACCCCAGAGTGGCAGTGGGTCAAGACAAAAATGGATTCTGGGGAGAGGGGAGCCTGATTTTGCAGCTGCTCCCCCTGCCCAGGCTGGGCAAGCCAGCTGCCAAATCGAGGGGCTGCAGGAGGTGCAGACCGCTCCTGCTCTGGGGTTCCCCACTCCCGCAGGGCTGTAGCATCCCTCCTGCATACAGTAATGAAGACAGCCTCTGCTGAGGAAAATGTTGAGGCAGAGCAGTCTGTTTTATCAAGAATTTTTTAGGACCTAATGCAAATAATTAATTATTAATCTCCAATACTTCAAATTAATGGTGACAAGGAAAGGGATTGATTTTTTCCCACTTTCTAGATCTCAGTGGACAAAACTGAGCTTTTGCAGCTCATGCAGTAGCTGGATTTGTTGCATCTCTGAACTTGCCTGCAAACTCCTTATGCCTCTCTAGGCTGGACATCAAAGCCACGAGAGCTGTGGTGTAGCTGTTAGTGCCCAGCTGGAGGCTTGTTGGCTCTGCTGAGAAAAGGGACACTACTTTTCTGGAGGCCACAAGGCACAGGGGAGCCTGTGCTCAGTGACACCTTCCCTGCTCCTTCCTTCCCTGGGCATAACACTCCGGTCCCCTCCCAGCACAGAGAGGGGTGGTGGTGGGGAGAGGAGCAGGTCTGGGCTGCAGGCAGCAGGGCTGGCCCAGGCTGCACAGAGCTGGCCACCTGCTCAGCTCCGGGTTCACCTCCGACCACCAAGGCCACCCTTCACTGGCAGCATACGGCCGAGGCACTCATACCCATCTGGCCCGAGCATTGCTGGGCAGCAAAGACAAGTCTAGTCCTGTTGCTCTTCCAGTCCCTGCTAGAGAGCCGGGGATGCTGGGCAGGAGGGATGAAGGAGTGATGGCTGAGCCACACCGAGTTAAGGCTAAGCACAGCCTCTGGCCCAGCTTTCGGGGCATTTCAACTCAAAAATTGAGTCCTCAGTGCAAGTCGGACCTCCCACTGTGGGCAGCTGTGGAGTGGGAAGGGCCTGGGGTGTCTTTGCAGAGCAGCTCTCCAAAGACATCTGCTCCTGGCAGCAAGCTCAGCCAGCCAGGAGCACGAGCCCTCAGTTAGAGAGTATGATTTTTCTAATGAAGCTGTAGGTTGCTGCATGGCAGTTCCCTCACCATGGCTGCGCGGGGACCAGGCAGTGCTCACTGGGTGCCCCAGCTGTCCCCGACACCTGCGGGGCTCGGCAGTGGGTACCCATCTCCCTGGCTGAAGTGCAGGTACCGCCTGAGTCAAAGCTGCAAAACCCTTCAAAATGAAAAACCCCGCTGCAAAAACAAACACAAGAAACCAGCTACAGCTGATAAAACCAAACCAAGCATAAACATGCCTTCAAAGCATAGCAAGAAGGCAGATTTCTCTAATGCTGAAATTCAGAATTTGTTGGAAATGCTGGGAACCAGCCCCTGACTATCTGCGTACATGCTGCGGGCCAGATCCTGCCCTGTGTGGTGAGGTCCCGAGATCCTCTGGCAGGTTCTACCTAGTTCTCAGCTCAACACAGCAACAAGCCTTGGCACTATACTGGGTTGTTGTAGTCACTTCTCAACCCTGGGAGATGCTAGGTATATATACAAGCAGGTCCGGAGAGATGGAGAGGGCTGCCAAGACTTGGGTGGTTAGACAGCAACATCACTAAACAAACAAAACCCTCTAGTGACCCAGACTTCCACACCAGCCACAGCAGGCTTCACCCTGTCATCTTTATGATCTCAGTCAGAAGAAGAGTAAAACAGCTGATCTTCTCTCTCCGCACTACCCGATACCTCATCCCTTTAAATTGGGGAGGGAGCTGCCTCTTTCCTTCCCATCTACTAGTATTGACTCACTGCTGCTTCCTCCTGTTAGCTTTGGAGGTCTGGTGCAGTGGTGGACTCCAGGTCAGCAAAGCATATAAGCACGTGCTTAAATTCAAGCTAAAGCAAAGCATTTGCTTAATTTTGAGCAGGTGCTTATAGCAGCAGGATTTCAGCAGTGAGCATCTGGAAGGAATGGCTTTTACAGGGTTTCACATTTGCAAAGCAGAACTGAGGGCTGCAGCCTTCCCATCTGAAAAGTAACTTTTCTCTTGTTCATTGTGCTGGCTCAGACGGTAATCTGCTTTCAAATCTTGGACTCGGAGAGCTGTCTTGCAAGCTGAGGATGATCAAATATGCACCGGGCTAACTCCATAGGGAACTCGGAAAACCATGTTCACGTCACCATCTGACCACATTTATTTAAAAAAAAAAAAACCAAAACAACTAAAACCTGCCACAATGCATAAGAAAGAAATTAATGACATTCTAGATTATTAACACAGAGAACGAACAGGCATGAACTCCATCTGGTACTCACAGGGTTTAGCCACGGATTATCCCATCAGGAAAGGCTGCGAGCTGCAGACCACATGGCAACCATTGTGAGCAGGAGGGAGGGATGGGGACAGCGCAGACCTGCCCTTTTCTAACCTTCAGGGGCTCAGGGACCTGCAGCCAGCTCCTAACAGACCGTCCCTGTCCCTGCCAGCTCTGCTGGTAACCGAATCAGCATGCATTAAAGTTGTACCACGACAGCAGCTGGGTAGAATAAATTATGCATGGCCACTTTCAACAGTGAGAAGGCAGAGAATAGATTTGGTGCCTGCCCTCCCCTTTGCCAGAGAGGCAGCGGGAGGCTTCAGCTGCCAAAATAACTGCTTCAGTGGATACTAACCCAAAAAAATCTCTGCTCTGCATTGATGTGGAAAGTCACCATGGAGGATGTGGAGCATCCTCTACAGTGACTGTCCCCATCAATGCAGGGCCATTGCTTGGAGAAACAGAGGGCTTCTCCCCCCTACTACAGACCCCAGCCCACTCCCCAAAAATTGTTACAGTGCAACAGCAGTGCCGGGACATAGTGAAATAGGGGGGTCCTGCTCACAGCAACCCCCCACCAGGCTGCATGGCCATACCAAGGAGGCAGAAATGCCACCCACCCCTCCTGGCCAGGGACCAGAGCCTGACATTAAAGAGCAGCCTTGAGTCCCTGCAGCTGAGGAGGGATTTCCTCCTGCTCAGAGGGGTGGGGAGGGAGTAGCCCCAGTGCCTGTCCTCCAGCATGGGCTGGGAGGAGCTGTCACACCTCCCCTGAACTGTGCAAGGGCCAGATGCTGCTGTGAGCAAGCCTGCCAGGACACTGCCTGCCCTGCTTTGTATGGGAACAGAGCAGGGAAATGAAGTGAAGATGCTCAGGAGAAAGCGTCTCTGCAAGGAGAGACTAGTCCCTCCAGGTAGCCCCTCAGTGCAGCAGTCCCAGCTCCCCTTGATCCCAGCATGCTGTCCTGACTGGGGAAGATGCTCCCTAGTGTGGCTACAGCAAGGTCCCGGGGAATCAAACCATCCCCATGCCATGACGGGCAGGGTCTCTGCACATTGGCAAAAGAAAAAAAAAAAAGGGAGAGACATTTAAGGAGGCAAAGAAACTATCAGAGGAGCAGGCAGAAAGGGAGAAGGTCCCAGCAACAAGCAATGATGGGTGTGAACAACAGAGCAACCAGAGGTGAGGGAGAGGTGGAAGAGCAGAAATGCTCTAATCCAACTGCCAGCAGCCAAGAGGAACCCACAGGTAACCTGTCACTTTGGATGACCGTGCCAACGTCCTGGCCCACGCACTGTGCAGGGAGGGCACCAGTGAGGGGGCCTCCCCAGGGACATCAGGCTCCACTGTGGCCCTGGGTGGTGTGGGAGAGAGTAGAGCAACAGGGGAGCAATGGAGATCAGCAGGGACCTTCAGGTAAGGGCTGCATTCCGGAAGGAGCAAGGTGTTTACGTGGGATGTGGAACAATACCTGGAGCCTGTAGAAGTGAAGAGGGAACCCAAGACAAAAGGTCCCTCTTGGGCTGAGGAGCTGCCTGCCAAGGCATGGCCTGGGGGAGCATTCAATGCACAGCTGCAATCTTTAAAAGTAAGGCTTCCTAATGAAAAAGGCTAAACAACTTTCACAGCAGTTTCTCCAGTGAAAAGCTGCTATATTGCATTGTGTCAATTAATCAAGGTTTCAGCTTGCATATGGGATAAAGTGTGTCCATGATGTCCCATAGCCACCTCATTTCATTCCCTTCCCTGCCCAGCCACTTGGCCCAAGCATCCTCTTGATCCTCTGTGTGGCCACTGGTCCCATGGGATTGAGGAACGACTGCTCTATTGGGAGCCTTCACCAGAGGTCGAAGCAAGATTTTACACAGAAATGGTAGGAAAATAGGGAGGGAGGCCTCTTCCTCTCTCCTCCAGCTGACTGCCCTGAAGGTGCCAGCTCCCCTGTCATTTTCAGAATAGCCAGCGGCACAGCTTCTTGTGGCAGCCGAGTGCTGCAGCATGATGATTGCTGCTGGCAAGTCCTTCCCGACAGCCGCCCTCCCAGGTGCTTCCTGACATCTGCCTGGAGCTTGCATTTTGCCTCCGTCTCTTAGCCGTCCCCTCTCTTGTTGACTAAAAAGCTGTCCTCACAGGGCCAGCCACGGTTTTGCCAACTTCGGTCTGCATCTGGCTGCTTACATGTCAGACCGGAGGCCTCTGATGACTAGGACCTGGCTGTTCGTCCAGCTTCTTTGCTACTGGAAGGGACTAACTGGGAACAATGGGACGGTGTTTACAGCTGAGTCACTGCATAAACCTGTGGCTGCACTTTCTGTGCATTCAGCGGAGAGAGCAGCAGATTTGGTTTTGGCCTCAAAGTCACAGCAAATTTTCAGAGACAAGGATTAAGAGTGATTGATTTCACAATATAAGATTGGCTTTGAGATTCATTTTAATATACAGAACAGCTTATTAAAATTTCCTGCAATTGATGTGTCTTTCTTTTGATGATTCATTTCAGGGACTATTATTTTTTTAACACAGTAGCATTCAAGTTAAAAAAGCATACGGCATTTAATAGAGCTTTTCTCTTCTTATGTTAATTTTTAAGGGTAATTTGTTTAAACCTACAGGCTCTTGGGGGATTTAGGTGCTTCAAAAAAGTTGAAGCAATTAGCAACTGTTTGAAATGTGATGTGCAACCTGTGGAACTGTGCAGATTTAAATCAGAGGACCTGAACACGCCCTGCAGCCTGACCTGACCTCACCAGCATGAACTGCAGGATAAATAGAGGATCTTACAAGCTATTCGCCATTAGAGATATGGTAAGTGCATGTCTGGAAGCTTAGCTTATGCGATCTGTGATGAGGGCTGTAAGTTGAGGTGCCAGACTTTATACTGAACCAAGGCAAATGCTCTGCACTGCTGAACTTCTTGGGGGAAAATATCCACCTTGAACAGAGCAGAAAGCTGGGATGTCAGTTTTCCCAACTGCCGCACCAAGAGTTGTCACTTCTCATCCATCAGTGTCTACACTAGCAATCTTTGCTGGGAGAGAAATACCACTGTGTAATACTCTTACCACATGTAACTCTTACAAGCAATGCTGCTCTGTACCAGCATAACAGAACAGACATTTCCCAGTATAAATGCATCTATCCTGGGGACAGCCGCTGCCTTAGCTCCTCTGCCACAGATCACATTTCCCTATGCACATCCTCACCGCAGTGCCAGCAGAAGCCTGCATACACATTTGAGAGAAAAATTATTTTTCTCTTTTCTGTTTTGCATGGAAAGGCTTACCTTCATTTCAGAGTAATTAGCAAAATTATATCTAAAATAATACTGCACCAGAAGTAGCAACGCAAGACCAACATCTCAGTGTCAACAAGGGCAGATCAGTAGGAAGGGGGTTACTGAATATCCCTAATTACATCCAAGCTCCAAAGGGCTATTGACTCCAATACCTCAAAGCTACCAGCTCTAGTTTGCAAGTTGCATTCATGGGCAGCTTGTACTTGCATGTAGAAATATGTCAGCACATTTTCCTGGTGGTCTGTAAAGTGACTGGGAAGAGAGCAGATATCACATTTGTAACAGGACCACTGCAGTGTTCTTTCCACTCCCATTTCCCCTCAGAATAAACTACTGAAGAGAAGATTAAAGAAGGCCAGGAACCACAACAGATTCAAATAAAACATCTCACCATCCCTTTTGTTTCCTTTCAAGTTACAAGGTAATGGTATGGCCATGCAGCAGTTGCAGACTCCAGTAGCAGTCTGAGCACAGCAGCACAGGGACCATGGCAGGATAATCTGCCCAGCCACACTATGATACCCTCAAACATATTACTGCCCTTGGGACTGAGTCCCTCCATCACCAGCCTCTTCTGCTCTTGCACTACCTTTTATTACAGTGAAGAACTTCGTTCTGACTCACTTCCTATGAAGCTCTCAAATTGCTGCTCTATCTGCCCCTTGGAAATGTCAAGGGAAATTCAGATTGCTGTTATCTGAGCCTGATTGTCTCATTTGAAAGGTAAGTTAATGATGATACAGGTCCTGACTTTAATTACTGGCTACATCCATCTTGGAGTGGTTAATTCTTGGAAGCTTTCCAAGACATTCACCCTACTGAGCATATACAGGTGTAGGTCCTGGCCAAACAGGCTGACTTTACACTTCACTGGCAGGACCATCTCTTAAGTCTAGACACATGCTTCTAACACTGTCCTGTCCTCTGTCTTTTCTTTATTTTTCTTCTCATTAATAGACTAAGACAGCTCAGTATTTTTGTCAGATTTATGTATGTGCATATACACCCAAGTCTGTGCACATTCCACATCCAGCAAAGCCTGAGAAAATGAGAGTTTTGTAGGACATTTCCTAGAACAGGTGTCTTACATTAAGCCAAACTAAATAAATATGGGACATGTAATGAAATAAACGGCCCCAGAAGATAACAGTCAGTCAGCTTTTCACATAAACAGTACCTTTTCTTACTAAGGACCTGCTGTTTATTCTAGCAGGGATTGCTTCACCAAAGTGAGACCAAGTGGCCAGCTATTATTTCTTCCCAGCAGAAGTGAGATCCCTGATAACTTTCAAATCAGGGTTTAGCAGCAGTGCTGTGTGGAGCTATAGGAAACAGTCCTGCACCACCTGCCCAGCCCAACCGGACAGCAAGGTCCATGCTTCCTCTCACCCCGGGTGCTGCTGTGGAGGAGCCCAGATGCAGATTATCCTCCCAACACCCAAGACGAGCATGATCCTACCTGTGCCATCTTCCAGATGTCCGAAGTTACAGATCTGGCTGATGTTGTGCACCCAGATCTGCATCTCCTCCTCAGTTTTGGCTACCAGGTAGAAGGTGCGGTAGGTAGTTCTCACAATGAAGACGAAGTTGTTCTGAAATTCCTTCTTGATGAAGTTGGGCCCTGAGTGCTTCAGCACTTCGCACTCGTTGAGGTCGATGATCCGAATAGGCTTTTTGGAATGGTTGTTCCTGTAGTACTCCAGCACATCCGGATTCCCGCTCATGCGGCCTCTGCGCAGCACGAACCAGCGCTTCCGCCATGCCTGCAAACGGCACAAACAGGGCCCTTTTAGTGCCAACCACATAATATATCAATTGGCCCACACATGCATATTTTCCTTTAGGTTTTATAGTTGTTTTGATAAGTTAGCCAAATTGTGACTTTGATTTGAAGTGCTTGCTATCGGCTTGTATTTGTGATAGGAAAAAAGGCAGAGGGTTGTCCCTTTGGAGGTCAAGAGGAGAAAGACTTCTCCCCTCCTCTCACCCTCAGCCTGCCAGCATGGTGTAATCAAAATGATCTGATACTTCACCATCTCATCTATAGAAGAGGTTGTAACACATTTTCTTTGTGAAACGAAAACACCTAGGACTGCGCCCTGTGTTGCAGTACATGACTTAATATCTGGCAACACCTTTTGCCCAGCAAAGGCAAGGCCTCCAGATGACCAGTGCAGCTTCCCTCGCACAGTTTTCAGTGCTAATAAAAAGCTGCTAATGAGCTGCCAGTTACTTCTGAAAGCCCAGAACAAACCTTAAAGAAGTTGTAGTGCTAAAAAGTTAAACAGGAAACTTCCCAACCTTACAGAAGGATGTCTATTTATACAGACACTGCTTCGAGTGACCACACCCCAAGCCAAACTGGTAAGCACTGATGTCTTTTAGACCCTTGTGAGTGAAGGTATGGGTCCCATACATGCTTAAATGAAGTCCTGGCAGAACTAAGATGCAGTATCACTTTATAAAGCTATATGCAAATTTCTAGGAACAAAATAACATATTTTCCCTTTTTTCCAGAAGCTGTTTTTGTTCATCAACAGTGTAAGTGACCGTGTTGATTACAGCTGTCACCAACACACTTACTTTGAGGGCCACAAGAAATCCACCCTGAGCTCTGTTCCACAGAGAAAAGCTGAAATAAGACATTAGGAGCTTCCCCCTTACCAAACTCCATAAAAACTGTGTTGGATAAAGTCATGCCCAAACCAGCAAGGCCCGGGCGGCTGCCAGGGAGCAGCTGAAGCCAAGGCTGCAGCTGCCCCAGCTCTGACGGCAGCCTGAGAAAGGTGCAGGGGCTCACGCGCTGCCCAGGTACCTGCAATAGCTATACAGCCACTGGCTGTTTTAATGCCTTCATAAGAGTTAAAAGTTCATTAAAGAAACATCTGAACAACCACCACAAACTCCCTCCCTGAATCTTATTCAAGTGCTCTTTGCAAAATGACTTGTCACAGCAACATAAACCTGGGCAATAGCTTGTGCTCGAGTTAAAAATCATGCTCATTTTGCAAAGAGTGGATCTGTCTGTCAGTTTAAAGATCTGAAATCTAAAATGCAGCCTTAAGGCAAAATAACTGAGTTCAAGATGTTTTCACTAAGATACAAGAGTCCTTACTGGCACAGTTTAGGATCAATACAGGCACTGCAGATTTTGCTGACACTTGAGGTCCCATGGGCATGGTCATAGTTAAAACAATCAACAAAAAATAGCAATAATAATTTGTCAAGAAAAAGCATATTTTCTTCTAGCCAGAAGAGACTTCTTTGCAGGGCAGCAAACTTTTCACAGTCTGTCAATATTCACCCAAAAATTTATCTAGAAGTAAGTCCATTCAGCCTGGCAGTACCTTATCTATTTTGAAAGCAAAAGATTCTTCAGAAACAACATACAGGGACCAGAGAATGAAATCTCATAGAGGGAGCTCTTGCAAGGCTGAACAAGCACATATCAGCCTGTGTAAGGGGGGGTTTCAGAGAGGGGGGTCAAATCAGGAATAAACAGGAAGCAGAGGTGAGGTGCAAAGTGTATTGCACAAAGCAAATTCAGTCTTGCCCTCATGACCTGTAGAGGTTTAAAAGTGATTTGGTCTCTGTTGAAAGTAGCTAGAGATAACAGATTAGAGAGATATCTCTCCGACAAGTCTAATTTTGTGGGAGCCAGGAAAAAAGAACACCCCCCCCCAAAGGAAATAGAAACAAAGGAAAAATGTTTAATGGAGAAAACACTTTCCTGACTAGCAAGCTTCAACAGTGGAATACAGCCCAGCAGGTACTTCACATGTACAGTCCCAGAAAGAGTCCACATCTCTGCCACCAGCAAGCCAAGTGCCACACAGGCTTAATGCACCCCACAGATGCATCAGAACAAAAAGGTCACATCCCCTAAAACACTCTCATCCCTAAATAACAAAAGAGAAATGCTTCAGGAAGTGTAAGCCAAACAAGACCTGCTCCTTCACCTCCCCAAGAAGCAGGCTGCTAAGGCAGAGAGGGGAAGGAGCCACCAGCTCTCCACCAAGACTACAAAACCACTTCCCACTCCTCCCCCAAGGCTGCCAGCCCTACAGCTTAAATACACCTGGCTCCTTCTGATGGAAATCGGATGGAAATCACCTGCATATGAGCAAGCTGAGGAGGGAGGGAGGGGAGGGGAGGGGGGAGCAGCTGGGGACACCCTGCCTAGCTAGCACCCATGCAGCTGTTGGGGGGGCGGGAGCTCAGCCCCGAGGCCGGGGCTAGCTCAGGGCTACCTGCCGGTGGCTGGTACAACACCCTCAGGCAGGATGGCCCAGTACCTGTCCCCATTTCCTTAGCATTTTAATTTTCATGAGTCTAAAGCAGTCTGTAGTTTCAGCACAGCCCGGGCAGCCGGTGAGAGGGAAGAGAAAACTGCAGCTGCGCTTTGCGGAAAAGCTCACGGTCCCTCCGTTCAGAGGCAAAGGCTGGCTTTGGCGTGGTGTGAGCGGCTGTGGCTCTGCTGTTTTTGGTTTTGTACTAGCTGAGAAGCTGCCTGATGACCTGTTTCCCTGCAGATACACAATGTGATCAGGCTTATCGTCTGGCTGGCGCTGTGAGACTGGAGATGGAGAGGTGCCCGGTCAGTGCCGCTTGTGATGGGAGAGGAGAGCAGGGCCGAGGCTGTGTGAGAAAACACTGGCTATCATAGACGGGCAGCCGTGAAAACAGGGCTGAGGGGAAATAATGCCAGATAGCTGCCCAAATCTGCACTGCCCTTGGGAAGGGTGGGCCTCCCCTCTCCATCTCCCGCACGGCCACCCTGACTGCCTTCCCCAGGCTTGCGGTGGGGCCCGTGCAGCCAGCCAGCACCCCGTCTGGCTGAAAACAGAGTAGTTTCTTGTTGTGGGGGTAACACGTGAGCTGTAGGGAACGTGCAGGAAGGTGGGGGGCGGAGAGGGACAGAGGAACTGCCCTTTGGGCATACCGCAAACTCGGACAAGCTAACAGCCCTTGGCTGCCGCCGTTCATTGCCCCAAATATTAATGTGCTCTGAAACCGATGGTGGTATCTTGCTGTGAGCTGCAGGGACCGGAGGAAATACCCTGCCCATGCCGCTGACCCGCCGCTGGACCTGGAGCAGAGGGGAGGGAGAGGCGCCGAGGGACAGCAGCTTTTAAATCGGCGCAGCCTGACTCAGCAGCGCAGGTGAATCAGCACTCGTAGGCTCAGACCTTCAAAGACACTTAAGCGCTCAATGTCCCTTGAAATCAGTGCGGGTGCCACGGCAGGGTGGCAGCGGCACAGGGCGATGGCGCAGCCTGGCCGATGGGGAGTTTGCCGGCGCTGCCCGGCGAGCTCATCTGCTGCCCCGTGCCAGGGCTGCTCCTTGCCTGCCACCAAAGGGACCCGTCTTGGGGAGCGAAAGGAGTGGAAACCGCCTCATCCCACACTGGGAAATGGGAGCGCTGCCAGCTCGGTGCCCCAGCACCCAGCCTTGCCTGGGCGCAGGCAGGCCATCTCAAGGAAGGGGATAGGAGGGTGGGAGGGGATGGGACCAGCTCTTCTCTGGGTGTTTGCTCTTAACATCAGCTTTGTTGTACCATCAGACTGCATCCACACGCACACAGTGCACTTGCACCTCACCTCTCCAGGCTTTTTTTTCCTCCACTCTCTAGGAAGAAAGTGGCGTTGGCTACTGACATAGCGACCTGCATGGGTAGGGTTGCAGGAGCATCTTTTACACCTCTTCTCCCATTTGATATATCCAGTGCCATCATTGTCTCCCCATAGTGGCTCATTTCCATTCTGAAACTTCACCAGTATGTGCCTTTACTGGCAAAATGTTGTACTCCAAAACATTTTTGCTTATCCTACAATGCTGAGTGTACAATGCGCCGAGTTTTTGAGACACTGCAAACAGACACGAGCAGGTTTGCCATTGCCAATACGCAGGACTCGCCCTGCTCCATGGCGTAGGCAAAGCAGGGGTTTTGGCACACCTTTCAGCATGAGGCTTTTATCTCCAAGAGTCAAATATCCTCTCCTCATTTTCCTGGCATTTGCCTGCAATGAGCTACATATCTTCTTTCCCCAGGGGAAGGGCATGCAGCACACTGGAGTCACTGGGAGCCCAGCTGTGGCAGGCCTTGGCCAGACAAGACGGCGGCAGCAGCTTTTAGCTCGCAGGGACCCAGGCAGCTCGTGTACTACGCAGTCCACTCAGCCCCGGGCCAGAGGCACAGGGGGTGCCTGGCACCTCCCAGCCCCTGCCCTGCAAGGCAGGCAGTCATGCCCCGTGGCAGCTCCTCTCCAGTGCCCACCCCAGCCCCATGGCAGAGCATGGTGGGGTTTTACATAATTGTACGCTCTCGGTAGTTTTCTTTCTACCATTTACCAGTCAGAAGGCTGCCTCCTCCTTCCCGTTACACTTCTTCTCACCTTCCCTGGTTTTCTGTCTTTGCAGCGTGACCTTCGCCCACAGACCAGGATGCAGTGTGGTGCAGCGTGTGCCTTCCTCTCCTTCCCCATCACTCACCCAAACCAGAAGCTGTCCCTGTGCTGGCACCGCGACGCAAGGCGCTGAGCACCTGCCCGGGGCTGGAGGGGCTCCCCACAGCTCGCGGGCCCCTCGCTGGGGAAGGGTGCGCTGTGCCAGCACCCCATGGTACAGCAAGGAGCTCTGCTCCCTGCTCCCTCCAGTCCCGGGCAGCGCTGTGTGCACCCTTGTGCTGCTGCAATACCTTCCTCCTCACAGTTTGTAAGGCACAGTCGCTATTACCGCAAGCCTGTGCCCAGAGGACCAGTT